GGAATGCGGACAATGAGACCAGCTCCTCCACGTCCACCAGTGACCAGGGCAGGCATCCCTTTGAGGTGAGTCCTCTCTGCCAACTCTTTCTGCCTTGCCATGACATTGAAGTGTTTCTCCATCAGCGCATGGTTTAAACGTTCCCTGGATTATGACAAAATTAGGAAGGGGGGTATTCACATCGTCCCCATGCTCCTGGAATCTCTGCATGGTGTGTTTTCACCATGTTTTGATAGGACCATCGCTTGTAGCTTATTTCTGTAGTGAGGGGGCTAACTGGGATTCATGAGCTGTCTGGTGTGTTGCTATGCAGAGCCTCAGCTTAGGAGGCAGCAGTGAAGGAGAAACCAGGGAAACTGTGTTATTTCTTAGCTTGGCTGTAGTTTCAGTCTTCGCTCTCTCTAAGCTGTGTCTGATGACGCGCTGCTCACCTGCGCCAGCCTGGGCCTGGGGCTTGCAGGGCACTGAGGAGACCGCTCTTTGCTGGTGCAATACCGGGTGTGAGAGCTGTTCTCTCCTTACAACCTCTTCTCTTCTTTCCCTCCCAGAACGTGGATCAGCACTTATTCACCTTGCCACAGGGCTACAGTCAATTTGCCTTCGGGATCTTTGATGACAGCTTCGAGTTCCCATTCGGGTCCAACGCGCAGTCAGAAGACAACAGGGACTCTGAGAACCGCAGGGAGCGAGAGCACCAGTCCCGGCATCGATACGGTGCCAGGCAGCCCCGTGCCCGCCTGGCCACACGCCGTGCTGCTGGCCGGCACGAGGGTGTCCCCACACTGGAGGGGTGAGAACTGGCAGGTCCCTGTGGGGAGGCCTCGGTATCTTCCACTCATGGGAGTTACCTGAATAGCAGCCCCATCCCTTTTCCCATCAGTCTGGGAGCAGCCCTTGTCCAGGGCAGTTCTCCTGTAGGCTTTGCTGCTGTGAGCCCACGCTGCCGCACAGCTGGGCCAGCTGCTACTGGCGAGCTCTGTCCTGTCCTGCGTTTACAGGGGCCCTTCCACCTGAGCACACAGGGGCCAGGAGTTCTGACCATTGCATCTGCTAACAAACCCCAGTTCTCACATTGTCCTGGTTTTCCTGTCTTTCAGAATTATCCAGCAGCTGGTCAATGGGATTATAGCACCTACAACAATACCAAACCTGGGACTGGGTCCTTGGTGAGTTGGCAGATCTGCTCTTTCTGACACCGTTCTTGTTCGTATTCCCAGCCAAATTTAACTGTTGTCCTTGTTCTTACAGGGGGGTCTTGCATTCTAATCCAATGGACTATGCATGGGGTGCCAATGGCCTGGATGCAATTATTACACAGGTAATATTTGTGTTCTTATGTTTCCCATCCTCTTGTGCAGTGCTGCAAAATTGCCAGCAGCTGTTGTGGTGCAGGGGGGCGAGCACTGAGAGCGCAGAAAGGGGAGACAAGGTCCATGGTGCAGGGTCCAAGTGCCCTGGGTCAATAAATGAACAGATTCTGTGCTGCTGAGCTCACATCTCCTCTCTGCCTTTCCTGGCCTGCTGTTTTTTCAGTTACTAAATCAGTTTGAAAACACTGGACCGCCGCCAGCTGACAAGGAGAAGATCCAGGCCCTCCCCACTGTACAGATCGCACAGGAGCACGTAGGTACGTCTGGCTGCTCACTGTGAAAGTTCTGTTCAGCGCTTTCTTGGGATTTTAATTTTGTTTGCCATTACCTTCAAGGCCTAAAATGTTTCAGAGAGGGAAGAAAGCTGAAGTATTGCTCGCTGATACTCAAAAGAAAAAAGAGCAGTGTAGACGGGATGAATTTGTTTCAGAAAGTTTGGTGTGGATAGAGCTGAAAAAGCAGAGGGAAGGGAACAGTGAGGCCATGCCGGGACAGTGGAGGTGGGGAGATGCTCCCCTCTGCAGTGCCGGGGGAAGGGGAGAGGTGATGGATCCTGATTCAGGTGCTGTGAGTGTCACGCTCTGCTTCAGTGCTGCGTTGTTTCTTCCTTTGCGGTGCAGATTCGGGGCTGGAGTGTCCTGTGTGTAAAGAAGACTACACAGTGGGTGAGAACGTCCGGCAGCTGCCCTGCAACCACCTCTTCCACAACGGCTGCATTGTCCCTTGGCTGGAGCAGGTTGGTGTCACCCGGGAGGACCTGGGCTTTGGGTGTTCTGCTCTGTAGGTATTTTCATACCTCCATGATGAGGTAAGCTCAAAGCATGAGCAGCCTCTGGTTGGAGGAAGGAGTGTCCTCGTCTTCCTTGAGTGCTGCTCTGTGTTTCTAATCCTGTTTCCCATATTTCTTGTTTTGTTTTTGTCTGCTCTCCAAAGCACGACACGTGTCCCGTCTGCCGGAAAAGCTTAAGTGGACAGAACACTGCCACAAACCCCCCAGGACTCACAGGGATGAACTTCTCATCCTCATCCTCCTCCTCTTCCTCCAGCTCACCCAGTAACGAGAACTCCTCAAACAACTCATGAATCTTAACCCAGCCTCTGTCCCTGGGGCCCCGTCCCTTCTCCTTCCTCCCCCTCCAGCCATTGTAAGCATCGCAAGGGGCTTCCAGAGCAGAGCCAGGGGAGGGTGGTGGGGGAGCAGCCCCCACGTTTCCTTTTGAGTTCGAAGCCGCGGAGTCACTGGGTCCCTCAGGGGCGAGCCGCCTCACGTTCTGTGACGGGGAAAGGGCTCTGTTAATAAAAGCATCCATTTGCTGCTGGACTTTGAACCATGGCCGTGAACGGCTGCTGCGCGCCACAGGTGGGAAACCCACGGTGCTGAGCTGGTGGCTGCGATTCTGAATGGAAAGGTTGTTTGTATGGGTTTGAATCTGAGATTCCTTTCTTTATTTCTTTGGCTCCTTATCCCTGGGATGCTATCTCTTCTGCTTTGGAGACTGAAGTCTTTACAATGGGCGTAATGATACTGCCTCCCTCCCCAGATTGGCTGGGGAGGGCCCACAGCTGTCACAGAAAACACGAACTTTTGAAACAGACCCCATCATCCTCCCCTTCCCCACCTCAAATCCTCCCTTTTTTTTTTTTCTTTGTAACCTTGCCCTTCTGACACTCAACACTGAAAGGGTTTTTATAATTTTAAATTATTACTGCTGTTAAATAAACGGACGTTTCGGCCCAATGAGACGTTATGCATGACTTGAGGAAAACTACAGGGTACGCTCTCTGAGGCCGCGGTGCTGAGCTGTCCCCTTCAGGGCAGGGAGGGCTTGGCTGAGCCCCCGCACACCCTGAGCTCCAGCACCGCTCAGGTGTGCCCAGCACCACACGGTGGTGCCTCCCCGCACAGCGTTGGGTGCAGGACTGGACCAGCAGCGTCCTGGCCTGGTCCATGGTGTTTTTTTTACATCTCCTCCCTGTTTCAGTCCTGCCCTGCTCAGCCTCAGTGGACTTTTCCTCTGACATCAGGACTGGGTGTGCACCAGAGCCAGGACCAGCCAATGTCATTGTGTTTGAATAATATACAAGAAAAACAACATTTTGGACAAAAATGTATTTCAGAGCTACTTAAAATACAGCTGATTAAAAAAGGAGAGAGAGACAAATACCTGGGTGTGTTTGTGACTGTTTCTGGGACAGAGATGGAGGTTGGAGAATGACAGAAATGTGATGGGCAGGGGCAGTGACTGAGCGGCTGCTCCCGTCCCTGCTATGGGATGGGAGGTGCCGGGGGACAAAAACCAGGTTCAGTGGTGCTCGCTCAGGGCCCTGGGGGGCTGTGGGGGGTGGATGGGGCGTTCAGTGCCCTGGGAATTTGGAGTAAGAGCAGAGAGGGTTCATTGGAGATGACGGCCCCAGCGCGGATGGCGATGGCCTTTGCCGAGCTGAGCAACTCCTCGGGAATGCTTTTCCTCCTTGACTCTGCTGGGGCGGCCCAGCGGCGCCTTCCATCAGGGCAGATAAACCAGAGTTGGTCCTGGGACTGGTGGATCAGGGTTACAGCTCTGCAGGTCGGGCCAGAGCTG